ATGGCTATGATAGCTGAGTTAGCCGATGCTATAGACCGATCCCTAAATAATACAACAATCTGTAAAACAATTTTATCAAATTAAATTAAAAGATCAACAAGACAAATACATCGAAAATATACTAATCTGCAACAAGATCTAGTCAACGAACAATGGTATAGTAATATGTATAGGCAGAAACGAGATCAAGTATTGCAAGAATTACAAGAATGTAAGACAGATGATGCAATTACTACACATCTCTTAGATATCATGAAAAATCGATATATTAAATGGAAGAGAAAATGCAAAACTCTAAAAAATGATCTATTACTTGCTGATATTCAGCTTGATCTTAAGTGGGGGAAGTAGAAAAATAGAACTCGCAATGCCGAGCAATTAATTTTAAATTTACAGCAACAAAATTTTGCATTAGTAAATAATCAGCAAAATCAAATAATAGCAGGTAATCCATTATCAACATTTTCAGGTAAACATGATGAAAGTATACCTGACTTTCTCGCACAATTAAGGGCAAAATTAGAAGCTCAAAATATTAATGTTGCAGATGGAGCAGGTGCCCAGCAGGAAGAGATGTTGCAAAAGGTTTATTGTGTGGTTGTATGAGAAGAAAGGCATTAGAGTAGTATGATGAAAATATCACTAATAAGCAAAACTTTGAGTTTCATAATTTGCTAGATAATATAGGACAAGCTAATATACAAGCAGTTGCTACACATACTGGAGCACAATTAGGTAATCAAGCTCTTCGTGAGGCAAACGGTCGACATGGAAATATAATAATTCCATTGAGAGCGACAAATAATCCTTGGAATGAAGATTGGAGTATCACAGGTGGGCGAACAACTAATGATACTCCTAATGCACCTAATACTAATAATACTCGTACAGTAGTTGTAGCTGGAATAAGATTTGGTTAAGCTGTATGGTTACTAAAAACAAAATTTTCAACTATTAAAGAAGAAATACGAGCATTAATATATAGAACATTAACGCAGGGATATGATACTATAGAGGATTTTGCCAATAAAATAAGAAGAGCAGAAAAACTAGCAAATTATAGGGATGAAGATTTACGAAGAAAATTTCTAGATGGATTAGTACCTAAGTGGTTGGAAAAAGCTAAAGATATAGGTGAGGATATGATTTTTGATGAATTATCTAAAAAACTTACAAAAATTGAGTTAATTCGGATGGCAAGAGTGAAAAGAAATAAAGGTAAATTACATACTTATGAAACAGAGCAGTCTATATCACAACCTCGCTATTCATCTATTGCTCCTGCTATTCTAGATGCTATATCACAATAACCAGTAGCTGATATGCAAAAAATGATTCAAGATGCATTAGCAAAACAGCAGGCTAAATCTGATACCAAGTTTGAAAAATTGAAAGCCGAATTCGAAACAAAAATGACTCAACAATCTAAAAAATCTCGCCCTCCAGTTCTACCCAAAGATTATGAAGAGATATATAAGCATTATGCAAGTCAGGGAGATCCTAGACCGGTCTTAGTAATGAAGAGTTATTATATGAGATTAAGAAAATATATGCTCCACCAGTACAACCTAAATCAGAATGATTGTGATCATCAAATCAAACTGATGAAATAAGAAGATTAAAAAATAAGATTGTAGAAATTAGAAATGCAGAAAATCAATCTCGAGATACAGTAAATCAGATATATAATCAAATGAATAATCGGTTTAAAAATTTATCAATAGATAATTATGCAACCAAGGTTAAATCAAATCGAACGGGCTTTGTACCTCTTAAGCCTATTTTCAGTAATGATGATGAAAATGGTTATAATGAAAAGGATGGTATATGGTACGATCCTGAAAAAAAAAACACATATCAACAGTAGATAAATCTGTAATTTCATGCAGATTATCCGTTATTGAATCCAAACAAAATAATATAGTCAATTTACCAACAACTAGTCATGAAGTAACTGCCTCTAACAATAACTACTCTGTAACCACCTTTAGTAAGTTTTTTCCAGAATCAGATAAACAGTTAATAGAACTATTATTTCTAGCAATGCGAGATAAAATTGTTTTACAGATTGTTGTATTATTTAGGGATCGGTCTATAGCATCGGCTAACTCAGCTATCATAGCCAT